AGTCCTCACCATACTACGACGTTTTTATGACCTTTTATGCGTTAATATACTATGATGTTTTTTTGACATTTTATGCCATACTATACTATGACGTTTTTTGACATTTTTATGCCATACTATACCATGACGTTTTTTGTCATTTTTATGCCTTACTGTACTATGTTGTTTTAGTCCTCACCATACTACGACGTTTTTATGACCTTTTATGCGTTAATATACTATGATGTTTTTTTGACATTTTATGCCATACTATACTATGACGTTTTTTGACATTTTTATGCCATACTATACCATGACGTTTTTTGTCATTTTTATGCCTTACTGTACTATGTTGTTTTAGTCCTCACCATACTACGACGTTTTTATGACCTTTTATGCGTTAATATACTATGATGTTTTTTTGACATTTTATGCCATACTATACTATGACGTTTTTTGACATTTTTATGCCATACTATACCATGACGTTTTTTGTCATTTTTATGCCTTACTGTACTATGTTGTTTTAGTCCTCACCATACTACGACGTTTTTATGACCTTTTATGCGTTAATATACTATGATGTTTTTTTGACATTTTATGCCATACTATACTATGACGTTTTTTGACATTTTTATGCCATACTATACCATGACGTTTTTTGTCATTTTTATGCCTTGCAATACAATTCTATTTGATGCCTTACCATACTATAACGTTTTTATGACCTTTTATGCATTAATATACTATGATGTTTTTTTGACATTTTATGCCATACTATACTATGACGTTTTTTGACATTCTTTTGCCTCATCATAATATGACGCCATACTATACTAGGACTTTTTTTTAGGTTTTGTTGCCTTACTATACCATGACGTTTTATGCCATATTATACTATTACGTTTTTTGACATTTTTTGCCTTACTATATTATCAGGTTTTTTTAGGTTTTGTCCTCAGGGGCACCCGCCCAAAAATATAGGCTCAAGTAGCCAGTTTTGGTTCAGTCTCAAACTATTACTATTAATATGGAACTCTGATTAATAATTAACCAAACAATAATAAGAAAAAAATTAACCATAACCAAATTACCATAACAACATTTAGTCGAAGTTGAAGGATTAGATTTCTAATGAGTAGAGGTTGGCAATACTCACACTTGTGTAAAGTTAAACACACCAGTAGTTAAACTTTATTTACAATGGATCAGTGTAAAAACACACAATGTCTAATGTAAAGTATATACAGGTGTTTGTAAGTGTGTGTGTGTATGTATGTGTCTTTGGGGGACACAAACAAAGGCAAGATGAGTGACTCAAAGTGGTGGCTGCAGAGTAGGCTGCTGGTTTCCTCTTTGTTCTTCTAGCTAGAGCAAAGCTTTGGTTGCTCCGAAAATCAGCTGGCAGACTTTGTGTCCTAGCCGCTGAAGTAAACTTGTCCACTCGTCTCGGTGCTGTTGAAGAGCAGAGTGAAAGCGTTTTCCGTGAGCAGGCCCACAAGAGAGCTGAATGTCTCAGGTGGCCCGAACGTGGCTGGAGCCTTGTCGCTCCGTGAAGAGACGAGAGGGAAGAGGAGCTGCTGCTTCTGAGCAAGCTAAGGAGAGAAGAGGCAGAACAAAAAAGGAGACCTGATTTTGTCTGGTGAAACCCTGGGGGGGTCACATGTCACACACTGGTCAACACTGACTGGTCAGTGAGGTCCCTGAGGAAGGGTCATCCCCAGGTCTGAACAGTGAAGAATTTGTGGGGAAGTAAGTTCTTTTGTCTGTAGAACAAAAGAACATGTGCTCTCCACCAACTTGAATGTGCTGAGTCACAACACTATATGACGTTTTTTGACATTTCAATGCCTAACTATACTATGACATTTTTATGCCTTCCTATACTAAGACTTTTTTCTTAATAATTTCTTATTCTTATATGATTATGTAACATATGTCTATAATATAAACCTATAATATAAATATACATACTAAAATACATGTTTCTTTTAGCTAGACATATGTGAATATATGATATTGTTCCAATTTGCAACAGATTTCACATGTAATTTTTGTATATAAAGGCTATACTGTATACACATATATGATTTTATGTTATATATACATATATTATATACATGGAAACAACATGCACATATATTACATTTGCATATAGGCATTCCTGAAAGTGAATTCAGATCTTATATGTTAATAAACTTTTTGGTAGACAGCATTACAAAGTCATTGTAATTGTGTCTTTGTTTTGGAGGGGTGGCAGGGTTGTTGCGTCCCTACCACTGTTGAGACCAAACCTATGCCCTTGCAAGAAAATATATACAGCAATATCATGGCACCTACAGAATGATTAATGTTTCTTTCAGGATTGACCCTGAATGTTGGCAGTGGAAGTAAAACATGATCTGCAGAACTGTCAGCTTTGTGACCCCTGGATTCCTCTGGATGTAACTCCTGGAAATCAAGTCGAGCATAGGCCACATTAAAAATGCTTCTTTGGACTTGTATTGTAAATCTGAAGTAGATGCACTCAACAATAATCCAAATACTTCAGCCATCTGCGTTTTAGTTCTTCCCATGGAACCAATCGCAGGCTTGAATACCTTGGAGACGGTTTTCTTGGGCTGAAACTGAAGTAAAAAGATAGGCTTCACTGACAGAGTTGTCAGATTGATCTGATTTCATCCTAGCGTTGAAGAGAGCGGCAACTTTCCAGCTGAATCATGGCCATTACCTGAACTCTCAACATGACTCAACTTTCTTCGGTGAGCCTCATCCAGCAGACAGCCAGTTTTTCCTTTCCATGTGACCTGCACTCGAAAACTCTCAAACTGTCTGGGTTTTTTTTTCTTGCGTCTTGTTTTTTTCTACCTTCTTGTTTTGCAGCCGTGGCTGCATTTACCACGTCAAAGTTTTTAGATATTCAGTGAAATACCTTGATATCTACAAGATGTGCTGGCACAAAAGTTTGTACAGACATTCATGCTTCACAGACAAGATTTATTTGTCAAGCTACTGTTTCCATTTTTTATTATTTACCAATAAAACTACTTTACCAAAAGCCAAATTTGAGTTTAGGGCAGGTCACTCAGCCTAACTAATCTTCCCTCCTACGCTTGCCAGCAATCTGCGAAGGAGGCACACTTTCCCTCCGAGGCCTGATAAACATCTCCCCCAGCAAAACTCAAGAGCTTTTAATGTATGCATGCCTTGTGCTGGTCACTTCTCAGGACACGTGTAAAAATGCCATTTGGCTCGACGTTCACCTGAGCTCCGTTTCTAAAACTGTCCTTTCTCTTCCCCCTTCTTACCCCCGTCTCTCCCAGGCCCTTATCAAAGACTCAGGACAATCAGCGGTTTATCGCAGCTGGAAATGAGTGCAGGAAGCAGATGTTGTTCTGATTAAACATACACACGAATCCACACACACACACACGCACCATGCCAACTGAGTGCCGCTCGCTGCTGCCTGAAGGCCTGAGAGGAGCTGAGGGCCAAGTCCTGGAGTCCAGCGTCATGATATCTGCTGAACACGTGCTGTAGTGGAGACAAACTGCCAACACACCGGCCTTTTTTTTTCTTTTGTGTGTGTGAGTGTGTTTAAGCAAAAACAAGGCCAAGAAACTGCTTGATGTGCTACCTTGGCCTCTTCCTTCTGTTACATAACCCCTCCATTATATGCAATCATATAATGCAGTAATCAATGCATAAGAGTTGGGTAATCAGCTCTCCTCTGCAGACATAATGACTGCAATAACTGATGAAACTGCTGATGGCCTTTGCATCAGACGCTGCAGTGTGTGTGTGTGTGTGTGTGTGTGTGTGTGTGTGTGTGTGTGTGTGTGTGTGAATGAGAGGCAGGGAGATTGTCATATGGTTTCTACTTTAATAAGAATGCACTTTGGCACCCCTTTATTTTCTTCACTTTAGGCTATTATTTTACAAACTAGATATAAAAGGACATAAATAAATGACATAAGTTACATGTACCTAGAGCTCCTTGACAAAAAAAAAAAAACCCAAAATAAAACAAAAAAAACAAGGCAAAGAAAAACAAAAAATTCATGATCATGTCAAAAAAAAAAAGTACAAAAAAAGATTGAGAGAATGTTAGATCTACATGGCTAGATCATATGGCATCGGAAGGCATACAATGACAAACATTAACTCTGGCGACTTGTTAATTTTTTTTTCTTTTTTTCAAATCTTCCGACATTTAAGTAAAGGAAAAAAGTATTTTACAGTACATTCTGGTTTCCATCTCCTTCCCAACATGTCTTGCATATTTCCAAACAGGTCCTTTTTTAATCGAAAGATAAAACCCAAAAAAAAAACTAAAAAGAAAACAAACAAAAAAAAAAAAAAAAAACGCATTGCCAAAACAGGAAAGAGCAGTAGAGCTGTATTAAGGGCGGAGGTGTTTTTTTGAATTATATGAAGCGTCACTTGCGAGTTCAAAAACATTCACATAAGTATAGTTTAAAGAGATAAAAGGAACAAAAGGAATATAGTCCATTGGGTAAAACCTGTAGCTGTATGATGTGCTCTGGAAAAATAAAAAATAACCAACAGTTTTCCCTTCTCGAACACCTTCTTCCTTACGTCTGTGATCCTTTTTGTTGTGTACAGGTGCGTCGTTTTCCAACCTTCAACAGAGAGATGGCTCCAACACTTCCTCCTTGACTTGTCATGAGCTCGGAGAGTCCAAACTTGATGGGGGGGGGGAGGGGTTGTATGCACAGGAGGGTTTCAGTCACTCTGGTCTGTGTCTCCGTGTGTCCATTTGCCAAAGCAGAACTGGTTTTGTATTCCAGAAAGCTGTTCAGTAAATGCTGTGGCTGAGTAGAGTTTGCACGACGGGAGCAAACACACCTTACATTGTTTTTTTGTTTTTGTTTTTAAGTTTTTTTTTGTTTTTTTTTTAGACAACACGAAAGCAAAGAAAAAAAAAAAAAAGTCCAGGGTTTTCCTTTTTTTTTTTTTTATATATCAAAAACAATACAACTCTGTTATCTCCTCCTCCTCCACAGTGGCATGAGAACAGACACGATTACTGATAGTACTTCAAAGACCTTTTCACTCATACAGCTAGACACACACACACACACACACACACACACACACACACACACACACACTCACACACATCATAGCTTTCGCACGCTCAAATCAAACGCTTGTTACTTTACATGCAAACAGAATTAAGCAATAAAAAATTAAAAATAAAAATCACAAAAAAAATTTGAAACCTTCAAAATAAAAGCACATTATCCGCTGGAGCAGGGCTTCTTGATTATATTACATTCTTCTTATTGTCTCTTTTTTATGCTGTTAAATCATTCATAGTAAATTCCAGTACATTGCTGGATGGCCACAAGCAGACGGTGGCTAGTTTGTCAAGTCGACGTGTTGTGACGGCGGATGTCCCAGACGCTTGGGGATGGATTTGTCATCTCAGTGTCAGAGGAGGCTCCAAGGAGGAGGTGGAGGAAGGAGGGCGGGGAAGGGGAGCAGGAGGAGGAAGACAAAGAGGAAGAATTCTGGTCGTGGCGAGCGAGGCCGGGATCCTGTTTATGATGGACGGCAGCAGCTGGGGGAGAAAGAGAAGAGGGGTGGGGGGTGGGGTGGGGAGGAAAAGAGAGGCTGCATCAGTCATGGTGGTTTTGAATATAAACAATTTTAGCTTGGCATCCAGACCGGCAACACTGCTCTGCAGCTCCGGCTCGATGGAACATTCGACTCATCCGCTGAACACAATCGAGTGCCAAAGCCAGGGCATCCGGAGAGCGCGAGCGGCCGCACTTCAGGGGGAAAATATGGATTTCGTGGCAGCGGCGGCATTAACTTGTGTGCACCACATGCTGCTGTGTGTACATAATATATGAAACATGCCCTTGACTTACTGGCACACATCAAAAGCACGACAATAGACAATTTATTGAGCGTGTGTGTTAGATGATTACTCCATGTACGGAGTCAACAGCCAGCGCAACCGCACCATGCTTTTGTCTCATGCCAACCGAAGTAATCCTTCAACACTGTTCAGGCAGGAGTATTGATGAATTAGAGCCCATTAACTTTCAGTATCTATTATAGATTTGCTTTCATGTTCAATAGAAGCCTTGTACGGCATTTTTTGTAAAGTAAATTCTAATATACTGCAAAAAAATGGTTTTAGGTCATTTGGGGATTTGATTTGATGCATATATGATAGAAAACTATATATATCGGAATAATTATAACACATTTTCACTATTTTCTGACATTTTATAGACAATGCGATGACTCGAGAAAATGCTTAGTCAGGCAGATGAATGTGAATAATTGTTAGCTGCCACCACTGCTCCACGGCTTCCTGACTACATCCTCTGAAATGGCCAGAAAATGACATTTCAACATCTTTAAACAACAAAAACTGAACATTACAAACTTCAAGGAAGTAGCGTTGATTGCAGGGATGTTGTATTAGACTGGATAAGTGTTAGGTAGGTGTACCTAATAAACTGACAACTGAGAACATGAGGAAAATCAAATAAATCAATGCCGTCACATCAGTTTAAGTGATTATGTAAGTGAGTGAGTTTTGTCTTGAACTTGTGGAGTAAGCTAAATCCAGGCTTCGTTAACTTGTGTTAATTTATGTGCACAAATTATTTTCCTTCTACTTAGAAAATTAAAAAAAATCTGTTCAAAGGATAAATCTGTTGTATCTGATATACTAAAATTAATCAAGAGCCTCCGTTAAGACCCTCCTGGTACCATGGCAACATATTGGTGCGTTCACTCAGGAGAAAGTTGCACCCGAGAGTCGCACCTCCTCTCCTTCCCTGGAAAGTGTTCCTGAGCTCTGGTGGGCTCTGATCGGCTGACTGGGAGTCAGCGACTGATTAATTCTTCTCATTAAGATGCCGGCGGCATCAGGAACGCAGACTGATCACAGACCAGTGGCTATTGATCTGCTCTGGCTGCCTGCGGTGGCGCAACCTGCTTGTTAATTAACACAGTTTCTGGAGCTGAGGGGCCCGTGATGAGAGAGGGGGGTGGGGGGTGTGGGGGTCTAATGAGTCTTCGAGGCTTTTGGTGGCTAGACGTACTTGATATTGGAAGCATGCTGCAATAATAACAGGAGGTTTAATCCAATAGCTTTATTTGTTGGGTTTTAATGGGGCTGTTTTTGTGCTGAGTCTAGGTAACAAAAAGAATATATTGATCCTCACCTTGATGACGGTTGGAGCACAGGTGAGCGTGTTTTCTTGGCGATGACAATGCTGATGATTCCAATTGACTCTGCATCCATACTGCCTCTGTTGCATCCCTTTGTCCGAATAAATCCTGCCAATAAATTCCAACTGGTTCAAACAGCTGTCTATCAAAAGTGGTGAGGAAGAGATGGAGGGTCCCGCAGCGACGCAGGGGTGGGAGCTTCGATTCAGACGGGGGAGATGAATGGAAGAATCCAAATTGTGTGTTTATCTGAGGTGTGGGAGAGCGTTTTTGGGAAGACAGGGGAGTGGGAAGGCTCCTCTGGAAGATCAAAGACATTCTCAGCAACGTCCTGAGGGCAACAAAATACAGCGTTCTGGGAGAAAAACAAGGCCAGAACTGAGCAAAAAACAACAAGAAGCGCCTCAAAATAAGCCCTCGCTGCGCCGCCATCTCCCCTCAGAATCCAACCCTCAACCTCTCAGAGATTCACTGTTTGGACGATCCTCCATTTTGTCTGTGAGATACCAAACAGATCCAGCTGAGAGACAGAACAATGACGGCCGGGGCAGCCTGCGAGTCCCACAGAAACAATTCATGTACAATAAACACAGTCACGGGAAATCAAAAAAAAAAACAACAAAAAAAAAAACAAAATCATCTGCTCTGCGGATTATTCCAGAAAGAAAGTTCCAGAAACAACACTCTGCCCGAAGAAGAGCAAGAAAGGTATGGTTCCCCCTCTTCCTCGCTTTTCCTTTCCAGACCGTTAAAGGCACTCCAGATTGGCCTCTTGGAAGCATTTTTCCAGCCATCCCTTCATCTATCCATAAATGCTGCAGACAGAAGCGCCCCTTTCTCCAAAACAACAACAAAAAAAAAAAGGGCAAGGTAAAGGTCTGATTTTTTTAAAAAGTGCCATTTTCACCACTTTTTTTTTTTCTTCTTCATCAACGTCTTCTTTTCTTTTAGATCCAATTTAAAGTGCATGGATGAGGTAAACTATTTCTTCATAGTTTATTTGTCTCTTTTTTTTTTTTTTAATATTTAATCTTTTTTGTTATTTATTTATTTTTTTCATAAGAAACGAAGTCGCTTTGCTTCCTTTTCCTTTTTGCCTTTGTTTTAAAATCTCTCAGACGGGAACCATTCTGCCTTGCATCTGTTGCATTTGGGACAGCATTCCCTGGACGCTGGTCAGGATCTTGTTCTGGTGTGCTGCCGAGGAGATACCTATGCGAGCCATGTCCCTGAAAAAGACGAGGGGGGGGGGGGAGAGGCCTTTTTAGGAGCGAGGACAACAATAACAAACACACGAAGGCCTGATACACATGATGAATTTTACAGCCTTCCAGTGGAAACGAGCCCGACAGTTTAACTGCTGTCTGAGGAATTTCACTTGCCAACGCGGCGAGCCTGATCCTGTAATCTCAATACGTGAAGAATGAAAATAATACAGACAAGTGACAGAGACGGAGAGACATTTAACACACATGTACTTTGCATCGATTCTGGTCTAATCATAATAGTTTATCATGTTTATGCTTTCTGTGACTGAAATGAGAAGATTGATACCACTCATATATCTGTAGGCCACATATGAAGCCAACAGGCTTAGCTTAGTTTAGCTTAGCTTAGCTTATGTTAGCTAAAGACTTAAAGCAGGGAGAAACAGCTTGCTACATGCTGGAATTATTTTAGGGGAAGAGTTTAGCTTAGCTTAGCTTAGCCTTTTGAAGCAGAGCTAAAAACCCCCTGTAAAAACCTCAACCTGTCATTTTTAAATTTCTGTTCATGTATGAATTAAAGAAATGAGATACAACATGTTCAGTAATTAAACTTACAGGTGCTGCTTGGCAGATTTTTTTTTTTTTACCTTTCTGACAAAGCCCGGCTAGCTAGCTGTTTCCCTGTTTGCATTATTAATGTTAAGCTAAGCTAAGTGGCTGCTGAATCCAGCGGTACATTTATGAGAGATGCAGATATGAGAGAGTGGTATCGATCTTTCACTCTCTGCAAGGAAGTGAATCAACTTTATAACTTTGTTTGAGGAGCGAAGAATATTTTTCATTTTATTTCAAAATCATAAAGCCATTAAAATATAATCCAAGTCTTCAAAAAAAGTCTTGTGTAAAGACTTAATTTCTTGTTTTGTGATCATGTCTTTAAAAGGTCTTAGTCATAAATCACTATAAGTAAATTCAAATACTGTCAAGTAAGTAAAATATTTAATGTCTTTCAAGGGATAAAGCAGATCCTTTTCTTAGTACTGGTACATTTGTAAAACTCTTGAGTCTTATTCTTCTTAAAACAAGTGAATAATTCAGGACATTAACTTTAAGTATGTGCATCAATTTTCTGGAATGATCTCGAGTCATTTTCTCAGAATTGGTGCAGCGATCTGCTTCACGCTGCCTTTTACTGTCAGTTCTAAAAGTGTAAAGTGAGAATACGGTTAAAAAATGCTGTTATGCCTCTCTGTTCACACAATGCACTCGCTATAAAAATGAAAAAAATGTTTTTTGCTTGCACCTTCTTCCATTCCCATCTTTCCCTTACTTTCTCACTTCCTCTCTCTCTCAGTCTCCCCTTCCTACTCACTCTTGTGTCATGTGGACCACAGCCTCTGGAGTGGTGTAGCCGGCGGCGGTGAAGTTGTCGCAGTATCTCTCCATGCCGATGGCCTGCAGCCAGTCCTCCACTGTGCCCACGGCCGAGGACGCCTCGGGGCTCCCTGGCTCCAGCAGGGTGGTGTTGGGCCGACTGTGGGTGGAGGAGAGAGAAGAATTAATTTGGTGAACTCTTCTGGTTCTGTGGATGTCATCTCAAACTTTCGGTGTGGTTTGGCGCTTGAAGCGTTTGCACAAAAACCACGATGTGTGCAACTGTCTGTGCAAATAAGACAATAAAAGTTACATTCTGTTAAAGTGCTCGGACTGGAAAGGTAATGATCTGCTCTGTTACACAGTCGGGAACGCCACTGACTCATAACTACAGCAACCGCAGCACTGCTGGACTAATCGGACTACGGCGCTGTAGTGTGGTATCGGACGCCATGACGCACACACACACACCTTGTGTGTTGACAGAGATCTACCCACACGCTGTAAAACGCACCATGCTACATTTCTCTCTGCCCTTTCCCTCCTTGTGTCCCTGTTTTGTGGGTCCTACCAGAAACGGAGCCAAGTCAAACACAGTTCCTCCGGGGTGTGACCGCCACAGTTAGTTAAACCTTATTTTACAGAAAACACCCAACCAGGTCACAGTGTGGTGAGTTTTACCACCCGGTGGAGTTCCTCCTCCCGTTCAGATATTCATCAGCAGATTTTACCTCCATCCTTTTTTTTTTTACACTTCTTTTTTTCATGTCTTTCCTTCCTTTGTGCCGCGGCGCCGTCGGCCATGAAACATTCACACGAAGAGCGAGTCTGAGTCTGAGTCGGTGGCGGTCTCGTCCCGCTCCGGTGACTCTCTCACACTCACACTGCCTCTCTTCAGCTTTAGAAGATGTTGATTTGAACTTTGAGAACAGGATGTCAGACTCTTTAAGAAGAAGTCACCTCTACTCAGTAGGTGGAGAGCCTTATGCATAGCAATCCCTTCACACACACACACACACACACACACACACACACACACACACACACACACACACTCCACTCTCCCCCCTCTCTCTTGTAACTGTAAAAGCTGCATTTATAGGATGCAGTTCTGCTAATTACTCCACAAGGGCTCTCCCCTCTCGCTCTCACTGTGTCCCATTAGGTGAGCGCGTGCACGCTTGCGCGCCCACGTTTGCGTGCGCTCACACACTCGTTAAAACTCGAAACAGACTCCCGCCGGCCTCGCGTCGAGTCTGTAAACACGCATAGGTCATTCTTAACACGTTTAGCCACTCGAGAGTAATGGTGCTGGAGCTGCAGGGTCATGTTTGTTTTTTTACTCTGCGTTACGTCGTAATTCTCCTCCGCTGTTGGAGCGGCTGCATTCCTGAGTGTGCGGCACCATTAAAGCTGGTTTGCAGAGAAATCCATTATGGAAGGTGTTTGTGCTGAAAAGAGCCACACGGTGCTGGTAGATAATGTTTAATGGTGAATGTAAATACCAGCGGGAGAAGAGAAGACTGTGTGTGTGTGTGTGTGTCGGTTTCAGAGGCAGAACATTGCCTATGTAATACGTTTTACAGTATTTAAGCAGCATATAGTGTGAGCCTGTGAGTTCAGCATTTGAGTCAATGTGTGTTTAGGCACATTCACTTTTTAACACGACACATTTGCTGGTTGTCAGTGTGAACTTAATGTGAAATTCCACAACTTTTCTATAATTTTTAAGACGCTTGGACCATTTGGTGTTGTTGGAAGCCATATTGCTTCTCTCTGGTTTTATTATTTTAGTGTTATTTTTAGCTTAGTTTGAGATACAGTTAATATGTGAAATTAAGTTGAAGAGTTGTGAAGAATTTTGAATAAACTGATGTGATCTTACTTTGAAAAATGCATCAAGTTTCCAAACTTTTTCTTCTAGAATTGTGGTTCAAAACCTTTTATTGTTCAGGACCAAAGCAATATCTTGTGAAAGGATCTGTTTAATATATTTACAGGCCTGCGGAGCTAAAACGATCTAGTTATTCACCAAAAAAATGACAAAGATTAAAGGTCTAAGAGATGAAAAAATAAATCTTATCTGAGTAAGAGAAAATATGTTTTTTCTTCTTGTTACTCTCCTGTAAACAATCTTAAGATCCCTCATAGTTATCTCGGTTGGGAAGCACCGAGCTAGAATGTGCTTCCTAAAATCTGTCTGTTTGTGTGTTCACATGTAAACGTATGCTCACACTGCATGTGCATGGACGGATAAGGATGTACATCTACAAATCATCTGAACAGCACATGTATTTTGCGCGTGTCTCAGTTCTGCCCTCTCACCTGACTGCGGTCTCTCCCCCGGTCCTCTTCAGAGTGTTGGGGTTGCGGATCAGCTTGTCCAGCATGTTGACGATCTGTCCAAACTTTGGCCGGTCGGCCCTCTCTCTCTGCCAGCAGTCCAGCATGAGCTGGTGGAGCGCCACGGGGCAGTCCATAGGCGGTGGCAGCCGATAGCCCTCATCAATAGCCTTGATTACCTAAACGGCAGATCAGTGTTTGCTGTGAGTCACTCTGTTCCTCAGTTCATCTGGAGAGAGTCAAGCTGTAATAAAAACTGGAGGCAGTTTGATTAAAGCTGTGTCGTTTTTTTTCCTCTATTTTTAAACCCTTAACGTGATTTTTAATCACCGTACTTTAGCCACCTACACAAGACATTTGGTTTTATGCATAAATTAAATGCTTTATCATCATTAGTGGCACTGGAAATGTGCATTCAGTGTGTAATGAGAAGAGGGAACGTTCTGCTGGTATTTTATCACCCCTGCAGGTAATTTGATTAAATAACCAAGTTAAAATGATGAAGTATCTTTTAAAAATGTTTGACAGTAAACATGAAGCTGGGAATTATTGTTTCAGCTCTAATATCACACACTAATTAAGGCTGTATATTATTTATGACTGTCTGTAGACTTACGTCTTGGTTGCTCATGTCCCAGTATGGCCGCTCGCCGTATGACATCACCTCCCACATGACGATGCCGTAGCTCCACACGTCGCTGGCCGAGGTGAACTTCCTGTAAGCGATGGCCTCTGGGGCCGTCCAGCGGATGGGGATCTTCCCTCCCTGTAATTGAAAGATGGGCTGATTAATGAAACCTGACAAAGTCGACAAGTAAGGTGACACGCAGACAGGCCGCTGACACATGCTCGCCCACACACACACACACACACACACACACACTCACCCTGGTGGTGTATGCAGCCTCGGGGTCGTCCTCCAGCACCCGGGACATGCCGAAGTCGGACACCTTGCACACCAGGTTGCTGTTGACCAGGATGTTGCGAGCGGCGAGGTCGCGGTGGACGTAGCTCATGTCTGACAGGTACTTCATGCCCGACGCGATGCCACGCAGGATGCCGACCAGCTGGATGACGGTGAAGCGCCCGTCGTTCTTCTGCGGGAGAGAAGACAAAGTTTCACCGTATAATCCGACTTGTGTTTTAAATGTTTTGGATTGTGGTTAACAACTGCAATAACTTCACTGACTCATTGGTTTTACTGGTAAGTTTCCCATTACTGTTCACTTTTAATGAGTCAACTCTGTTTCAGTTTAAATGATCTGGAAATGCTCCATATTGGATTCAAGTCTCTAACACTAAAAACACTAAATAAACACACAATAACACACGACAACACCAAAACGTAACGTCATCTGTAAACAAATGATTCTGTTACATACATGTAACATGAGCGTGTTGTCACTAATTAGTCCTCTTGTATAAACAGCTGAGGGATTCTTGACAGTGTAACGTAGCCGCATGATTAAACACATGAACAAATCCTTCTAGTGTGATGGTTCTCAGAGGGGGGTCAAAGGGTCCTGAGGGCGTTCCCCAACAAAAAGGGGAATCGTTTATTTTCACTGTAATTGCATCCGTAAGTAACACAATGACAGAATATTGTTGTCGTGGGTTTCAAACCCTTTCTGTAATAATAAAGATCAGATGGGGGTCTGTGGTGTAATTTGTGAGTTAAGGGGTCCATGGTGTGAAAAGGTTTGAGAACCACTGATGTAAAGCATTTATTAACTGTTTAGAGGAATATGCAAATCCTGAAAACACATCTTCAAACATGATTTGTTGTGTGCAACAAGTTGCTGTTTCTGCAGGACTGAGCCCGACACAACTTTCCCAGCTCTACTTGTTTGTGCATTTACTGCATAAAGTCACGAAGCATCATCTGCAACCAGAAAGTGCAGTGGATCCTGGGAACAAACCTCCGCCCACTTCCTTGTCGGAAAAACGGTAAGTCGATCAAGATTAGGGCGAATGTTTGTGAACAAACGCTTGTAATTTTGGTGGATGACATTACAGAGATAAGAAGGGATCAGCTGGCTACAGTCGTATCGCACGCTCACGGACACACACACACACACACACACACACACACACACACACGAAAGAAACGCATGACTGACCCGCAGGAATGCATCCAGCGATCCATTTTCCATGTACTCTGTGATAATCATCACTGGCTTACCTAGAGAGAGGGTGGGGGGGGGAATGAAAGGCAGATGATTATAGAGGTAAACGATGCACATCACAGCCCGACACAGCAGGAAGGTTCTCGAGGGAATGTGTGTGTGTGTGTGTGTGTGTGTGTGTGTGTGTGTGTGTGTGTGTGTGTGTGTGTGTGTGTGTGTGTGTCTGTGTGTATTAGACCATCCATCTCTGTCCCGTAGTGATTTAATTAGCTCAGAGTTACGGTTGCCCTGACGTCCCCCTTCTCTTCCCTGCACATGCAAAGGCATCTTCAACAAGTATCCAGTACACACACACACACACGAACACACACACACACACACCATCACCATCTTGTGTTTATGCAAATACAAAGTGATGTTGGACGCCTTATCCAAAGGCTCATCACAGTCACCCACCCAGAATCCTTCTGACTCGCTATTTATGTCAGTCACTGTCCCTTTGCCCTCTGTCTCCTCTGCCAACTTTAGACGCATCTGTCACTCTCCTGCTAGTTGCTCTTTATTGCTTTCTTTTTCTTTCTTTTTTTTCCTACCTCGCTCCGACGCTCTCTCTCTCTCGCTCTCTTTTCTCCCCATGCCCCGCCCCTCCCTCTCCGGCCTTTTTCACCCCATCCCTCTGTCTTCCCCTCTCCGTCTCTCTTGGGGGAGCGTCTGTGTCTTTATCTGAGCCGGGGCAGGCGGCGGGGAGGGTGGACATTCCCTGGTGGGTCTCTGTCTGTCTTTGTCTCTTAGGATGAGGGGGGATGAGGAGAGGAGGAGAGAGAAAGAGAGAGAGAGAGAGAGAAGAAGAAAGGGAAGGGAAAGGAAGGGAGGGTGACTTGTTTTTGTCCCAAAACGGCAGCAAGCTGGTGTCTAACCAGCCATGGCAACAACACATGCCGAAAAGTGCCGCCACAAATTCCTCCTAGGACCGCGCTGTTCTTTGCGTTCCATTTCAAGTGGCACAGTTAAGGTGGACTTAAAATCTCATTGTGCTGAAGAGAAGTGCTGACTTAAACCTAACGCCTTGAGGGGAGGTTGTGCAGATTCTCTGGGGCGCTCCGGCAGAGCGCCCGAAGCAGCGGACAGCCAGCCGAGCTGTTGGCGGCTGAGGTCTTCAAGGTGAAGTTCCACCACTCCACAGCGGGCCTCGGTCCATGCCAAGGGGCCGTCAGTCACCGCCTTACCCGCCGCGTGATTGGCACTCCATTAATTATGGGGCGCTCCGGCGATGCCCCCCCCCCACGAAAAAGAGGAAGTGAAGTTAAAGTTGGCGGAGAGCAGGGGCCCTCTTTGTCAGCCATCTTTGTTCCCTTTGTTGCGCGTCCCTGCCCCGGGGCCGCCGGTGATTGACAGCTCCCCAATCAAGTCTGAGGAGCGTCTGACCTGCGACCTTAAACTCTCGCCTTCCCAGCCCCGCCCTCTTCCTCCCATACCATTTGCATGCTAATTTCTTGTTTACTGAATACGCCCTGCCGCCTTTGGCAATGAACTCTGGGCAAGGGCCCCGCCAGTGGGACGATTATCACCTGCCAACAAAACAGGGGAAGGGACAAACTGCAACAGGGCGACAATACTGGGGGAACGTTGGGCGAACGCTCTCGAGTCCTTGACGTACGCAGCGAACAAAGATCCTGCTTTTAAAAGCGGATCTTTTCTAAATTAGCATGCTCTTATGGAAATCAGCCGTTAAACATATTACGTCTGATTCGGAGCTCTAATGGAGGCTAGATTTTAATTACCCGCTAGCATGATAGAAACATTAAGTATATACAGGCTTCAAGATGGTGGACCGCAGCCAGCAGTCCTCAGTGAGAGATTTTTGCACATTTATGTATTTTAGTGCCTATTTGGAGTTCCTCCATAATTAATAAGGCTTAATTGGCTCTGTTGGACATGCCAGCAAACTGAGGCCAGATTGAGAATTCCTTTTAACTTGATTGTAATGGAGAGGGGAGTGCAATTCAAATAATGGATTTTTAATAGATTCCACTGACACACTTAAGTGTGAAGGACTAATTTGCCCAAACCTTGTGTCAAGCTCTCCAAAAGTTAAGAGTGGAAGGAGGTGGAGTGGGAGTTTATCCGATGCCCTTCTTGCTTTGGCTCGCCATCCTTTCATGTCAGCTCCTGTCACTGCTGCGTGGCTCATCTGCTTCTCCTTCATCTCTCTCGCTCCGTCTCGCTCCGTCTCTTTCTTCTCCAGCCTCCGGTTCAGTGGTTCTACCACCCTCCGCTTTCTCTCTCCGTCGTTCCCGCTGTTGTTCTCTGTCTTTCCTCTAATCCATCAGCTCCACGCCGCCTCCCTGTCGCCTTCTCCCCGCGTCTCTATTTGCACCTTCCCCGGCTGCCGCACATGTCCGACCCCCCCCCCCGTTCATCCGTCGGCCTTTTCTCTGTCTTTCTCACTCCAGCTCTGCAAGGCCTGAGAGGTCAGTGAGAGGTGTGATAGGTGATAAGCAATTCTGCCAGTGCTGCTGTTCACTTTCAGCTCCGGCTGGGCTAAGTGTGTATGTGTGTGTGTGTGTGTGTGTGTGTGTGTGTGTGTGTGTGTGTGTGTACAGGAGTGAGAGAGACAGTGTTATCTAGCACAGATAGGGCCGGGCTGCTGTGTCACGACACATTAAGGCACTTCATCCATCTAACCCGAGCTGAGACTGGCCATCACACATGTATACAATCAAAGACACGCAGACGCCAACATGTGTGTACACCAGATTCACACATACATACATGCATGCATACACACACACACACACACACACACACACATACCTCGAGCCTAACAAATAGCATCGGGGGAAGGTGTAAAAGGTAGAGAGAGAGACAGAGAGGAGAGAGTGCCAAGGGCAGAGGGAGGGAGGGAGGGAGGGAGATTTGGCCGGTGCTTTGTGGCCATGCAGCAGCAGATAGAGGAGGGATAGGGTATCGCTCCCTAACCCCAAACACATTTACGGCTGACACCATGATTAATGAGCCTGGTGCTGCGCTACAGGGTCTGTTCCTGGACCCATTAGACCCCCTCCCTCCCCTCAACTGCCCTGGTACCTCTAACTCCACCTCCCCCTCCCCACCAATCCAAGACCCCTTCCATCTGGAAGGAGCCCACCTGGGGATTTCCCCCGAATGGGACATGTGCACAAACACAAGCGCGTACATGTGCGACTACAGGTATCCTGGAGCGTATGCAACATTAATAGTTGTATATACTAAATCGTGCGATACACACAACGGCACACAAACACACACCTTTGGCTGGTAAAAGGTTTGGTTTGTCCCTGCGCTCACCCTTCTCCAAAGTCACCCTAAAACCGCAGACGTAGTTTGTAATGATTTATTGTTAAGTGTTTTTTGCTTAAGGGAGAAAGGGGACGGCAGAAATGAATGTCCTCTCTGTGTTATTATAATATTACAGTCTTTGTGTGTGTGAATGTGTGTGTGTGTGAGCTGAGTGTTATTACTTCCTGTCTCCTAAATAGATAATTATGCGAAATAATTATCCACCGCATCATATTCTTCATCTCATTTGGAAAGAGATAAATTCTCACCCTTCACCTTTTCTCCACAAAAAAAAAAACAAACCAAAAAAACCAGAAAACCGCACGCTTGACTCTTACATTTGGTGACCACGCCCTCCAGGTGAATGATGTTCGGGTGGTCGAACTGGCCCATGATGCTGGCCTCGGACAGGAAGTCCCTCCTCTGCTTGTCGGTGTAGCCGGCCTTCAGAGTCTTGATGGCCACGCAGATCTCCCTCTTGCCCGGCATCTTCAGGCGGCCGCTGCAGACCTCGCCGAACTCCCCTGGAAACAACAACACACACACGAGCTACTACGGTGCACGGGCCACAAATCACATCAAGGGGGGAGCAGGTGAGGGTGTGTGGTTGTGTGCGTGCAGGTTAGAAGGGGTCCACTTTAAACATTGATCAGGGTCTCTAATCCCTTTCTCTCCCCTCCCCTCCTCCCCTCACCCACTGGTGCAGAGAGAGAGGGGAAATGGATATTGATTCTTTCTCTTTATTATTTTGTCATTGGATGACTTTTCTCTGGCCACAGGAATAGCGCAGACAACATATTTAGCCTCCCCTGATTTTTATTTTTTTATTTTTTTCCTCATTGACTTGTCCAGAAGCAGACCAAATGTTATTGTCTGGGTAAATGCTGGTTTTTGTTCTGAAGGAGTGCACACGAGAGCGTACACAGCCACACAAAGGGATCCCGGCCGCAGAATATTTGCAGGAAACGAATACCAACTATGCTATTATCCCATTAGGTGGATGCTTTTATCCAAAGTACGCTTTACTGCAGAATCTCCCCTAAAACACGGCGTTCATAATAAGTGATGAAAACTGGCTGATTGAACCGAGGTCGCTGGAAATGTGTCTCCTCACCGATGCCGATGACTTTCTCGATCTTGATGCAGGAGGCGTCGATCTCTTTGGCGAACTCGCGCACGGCTTGGTTCGGGTCCTCGTAGGTAAAGGGGTCGACGTATATCCTCACTCCTGGGAAAGGAAGTTTGCAAGAAAGAAAGAAAGAAAGAAAGGAAGTAAAAAAAAAAAACAAAATAAAAAAGAAAGAAAGAAGGGAGTGAAAAATGAAGGTTAATTCATTCTGGCAACTAAACTCCATCTGTTTTTTATTTCCATCACGCTGCAGGCTACACTGCCTTCCTCTGCCGAGCCTCTTCTTCTCCTCCTCCTCCTCCTCCTCCTCCTAATCCTTTCTTCTCTCCATACCTTCTCCTCACACTCTGACTCCACTGCTTTTCATGTCACTGTGGCCGACTTCAATGAAGATGGAGCTCATTAACTTGAAATTTTTGTGGGATGTGAATAACAATGCTGATGACTTGATAATGAGGGTTTTTTTGGAGCACGTTAAGATGCAAGTACATTAACTTTAAAATAGTTTGTTTTTCCCCCCACCTGGTTTTATGGGCCTCATTTGCGGTTTAAAGTGCATGCACATGAACACACCTGACAGCGCTAATGTTTTTTCAATTATGGAGCGTGTAGGTGTCGAGTGTTGACTGTGAGTTACCTTGATGTAAGTGCTTTTCTTCATCAGAGTCCTGCTTGGCCTTGCTGTACTTACTCCTTCTGGGGGCAAAAAGAGCAGGACGGTCAGGGGGAGTGAGTCAGGACAAGAAACACCTCAACTGCATCTCATGTAAAAACAAAAAATTATAATGATAATGGAACACAAGTGTCATTTTCACCATAATCCCTAATTAAAACTTGAATCAAGACTTCTACACCCACTCACACATCAATTAAATTATGTGAAGAGCCGACACAATCACGGATTACTGATGAAGCATTGATATTCCTGTGTAATATGATTATTTATCAGAGAGCAGAAACTGGTTTTGAATGTTAACTCTAATCAGAGTTTGATGGCACTTTGTATTTGCTCTTTGTTATGAAGATAAAAGCCTTAAAGACACAGTTTTGGGAAAAACACTTATTTGCTCTCTGACCAAGTTTTACATGAGAAGACGGACACCGCTCTGTCTCACAGTTCGCTTAGTTTAACATGAAGACAGGAAACACAGATGGGAACAGCTCGTCTGGCTCTAACCAAAGGTAAAAAAATAGTTATTGTACCATCAAATCTAAAGCACTAATTAAAATCTTGTTTGTTTCATCTGTATAAAAGTGTAAAAAAAAAGCATATTTAAGCGTATTTACCCAGATGTCAAAACGACTCCTTTAAGTTAAAATATGAAGTAAGTGAGTCAAACATGACAAACTACCGTTTAATTACTAGTGCATCATTTACTTCACAAACGTTTCATATTCGCCGATAAAGTAAACTGCCGGATGTATCTCCCTATTTTAGTCCTTTATGTTTAAATTTCACTACATTACAGAGTAAGAAAATATAGTTTTCAGTCCATTTGATTAACAGTTACAGTAACTAGTTACTTTGCAGATCAAGGTTTTACATACAAAACACACGTGAGTTCGATTGCTTGAATTGTTCTACACAACTGTGTATAAATTAAAGTCCAAATCAGCTTCATCTTGATCAGCTTCAACATCAGAACGCTGCTTACATGTTAATGCATGAGTTGCAATAATCAAAGGGTATAATATATATTGGTACAACAATATGAAAAGGGCCATTATAAATAGTGAGTATTTTTGATACTTAAGTTATTATTACAGGATATAAGATACTTGCTGCATTTTTACTTCAACGTTTTATGCGTAATAAGATTGTCTTTACATTGTGATATTTTTACTTTAAAGCAAATAAAATATCTTTCAGCACTAATGGTTTCTGAAGGGCACTGAGCATACAGCAACAACATGGAGTGGAGAAGCCGGCGGGTATAAAAGCTGTAAATCAATCCGAGACAAGATGCACTTAAATCCCTCCGAATCCCTCAGGCAGCCTGACACCTGTGCTTATATTGATGTGTTGGGTCAGTGGTGGAAATGACCAGATGTGCGGGACATTGTCCTCCTCTATGGTTGTGTAATGATGGTAAACGGCTACGTGATTACAGTCCCCCCCTAAACCCCCCCCCCCCCCCCCCCATTCCACAATCACAGGATGGCTGCAGCAGCACAATGACAGTGGCCGTCACATGCATATAAAAAAGGCAGAGACAACCACCTGCTTGGCTGGAGAGAGAGGCAATCACATGGAAAAGAGAGGACACACACACAGACACACAGACAAACAACAGCCCCCTTCACTCTCCATCATTCTCAGCACCAATACACACATGCAAACAATGATTTGGTTTCCATATATAAAGAGGCACACTCACACGCATAAAGGGATCAGCGGATGCTCATAAAAGGCACATACACACATACAGGAATCAACACACAAGCCCATTAACACTCCCCATCCCCCAGCACCACCACACGCATGAAAACAATACTCTTTTTTTTTCACATAAGGATGTGCACACACACACGCGCACACACACACACACACACACACACACACACACACACACACAGGGGGAGTGTGGTTAACACCCAGAGGTGAGGAAGGCCCATCTGCATGTAATCCCATCTCTGTGACGGTGCTTTGTCCTGCTCGCTGGTTAACACCCTGAGATTGGGTCACTGCAAATCCACCTGATGCCTCTCTGTCTCAGTCTCTGTATTCTATCTCCTACTTTTCATTGCCTGCTTATCTCATTGTCCACCCTCCTATCCCTCTCCCTCTCTTTTTTTTTTTCTCTCGCTCTCTCTCTCACATTCTCTTCACGGCAGTCAGCAAGGCGCAGCGGGGGAAAATAACTAGCGGCCAGGATTACAGCCACTAGCTGAGAGATGGAGGGATGTGAGGAGCTGAGGATGGATGCAGAGGACAGGGAGCGAGGGGTCACTGATTGCATCTCTTCAGCTGTCGGAGCTGTCAATCACGTCTCCGGTGTGGCGAGTCATCACTCATCCGACGTGAGCGAGTTGCACTAGCTGCTCTGGCTGAGTGTGTGTGTGTGTGTGTGTGTGTGTGTGTGTGTGTGTGAGTGTGTGTGTGAGTGTTTTTGAGTGACGTCTATCGCCTGACAGCTACTTTTCCCGTGGCTAAGCAAGACATCCCTCACCTGGGAGGAAAGAGGGAGAGACAGGAAGCAGAAGGGACAGAGAGAGAGAGAGAGAGAGAGAGAGAGAGAGAGAGAGAGAGAGATAGATAAATCTCACCTTCGGCTGATGACGAAAGCGCTGATGAGGATGATGAGGAGGACCACGCTGCCCACCACTGACACCAATAACACTGTGGAGTTGGCCCCATCGCCGATAATGGGAGCTGGGACTGTTGAAAAAGGGAGGAAAAGATGGTGGTGGTGGTGGTGGTGGTGGGGGGGGGGGGGGGGTAGTGAGGGAGAGAAAAGAGAAAAGGGAGGAAGGTTGGACAGAGACAAAAGAGCAAAGTCAATATCACTGCGCTTGATTGAGTTGCCGCACATGAAGGAGCAGTGTAGATTCTGTGTTTGTCAAAGTCATTGACACCCCCCCCCCACATACACACACACACACACACACACTTCTTCCATCTCTCCCCTCCTCTCCAACACACACACACACACACACACACACACACTGTTTTGCCTTGCTTCCTAGTCCTCCATTTTACAACTCCCCCCTGTAAATTCTACTGCTTTGCATGCTCCACTGAGAGACAATGACGGCCCATTAGGAAGTGAGCTTGACCGTGTCATTATCATGCGCCGCTGTCTCTATCTACATTACAAAAGGGGACACCTGGGCCCCCAGAGCATCTCTGGAACCCCTTATATCATCACGTGTCAGCAACAGCAACGCCATGTGGAATAATATTCACAGAGGGAAATCAGAGATAGTAATAATGGCTTATGTTTTGTTAAAGGTCCCTAAAGGTAGATCTAAAGGTCTCTGTCCATGTGTAGTTTGATTATAGATCAGGTCTAGGTTCTATATTAATACTATGAAAGTATCAAAGCCTCAGTCCACAGACTAATGCACACAACCTATATTCAGAAACTGAGCCTTAAAACCAGCCGTCAGGACTTCTGTGACTTTGTGATGTCACAACAAAGCAGTCACCGCTCTTAGCCATAGCCCCAAGCCCCGCCCACCTAGACCCACCATCCAAACCTAGCAGGATTTAGTTTCTCTGGGTTTTTTACCTGAAATCTGCTCTATTTTTATTCGACCGCTCAAAAAACAGTGAGCCAATCAGAAGAGAGGGTCAGAGCCTCCTCTCTTCTGATTGGCTCACCAACCTGTTGTTACTAGAGCTCCAGAGAGAAGCCTGAGAGAGGAGATGTAAAACTACACTGAGATGATTTCTGGTTCTTAAAACTACAAATACAATATATCTCCTTATCAAAATGTGTAAAATATGGGACCTTTAATAACATATTATTATTGTACTGATGAATTCTTATCTGTCTGGTCTCTTCACCTGATTTAATTCCAACTCCGTTTTCGTTTTATTTTCCCTTAAGTAGCTTTAAGCTTGTTCGAGTCAGTCTTACAGTATTAAATATATTCAATCAACGTCCCAAGTTTCTGTGTTTTTTGTGTCTGCTCCAGTCCATCAAACAGAAATTTGATCTCCGCTAGAATTTAAAATAAAGTTCTCTTGGCTTTGACAATTCACAGCATGTGTCTGTAATGACTGACCCACCAGCAGGTCAGTGGGGTTTCAGGGGCTAATTTGAAATTGTGATCTGAGTCCACCCACGTAGGCGCTTGTTAATATTGTTATCATAGGGTTTTATAATGTTTCAGTGTCTGGTGGAGACAATGAAGACTCATTTTTCGGCTTTAACATGCTCACATCAAAGGCCACCAACGAGAAAGAAAAAGTAGCTATCAGCAGCTTCCGACTTCAAATGTCAGAAATGGTATCATTCTTCAAAAACCCATATAAGTTGAACCTTAGCTGGCGCGTCCACCGAGACTCACTGCAACTTGAATAATGGAAGCTACTCAAGTTGCCAGTCAGGTGCTGGAGCACAGTATCATTTATCTTTTATAGATGACAGCTATGTTGATTAATGACTACAATGAAAGAGACAAACTCGTAAAAGATGCTATCATAGCAGGATTTTGCAGAAACAGGGTGTGATGGAACTGGCAGCGAGCCTCTCTCTGGCTCTGCAGCGCGCTGATGTCATTAAGGCGAAGCACAGTAGAGGCGGCGTGCCTGAACTCACCGGAGTTGGTCATGAACTCAAACGGGCCGCTGAATTCCCCGTAACCCGCCGCTGTGCGAGCGCGGACGTGGAACACGTAGGAAGTGAGGGGGGTGAGGCCCTTGATGTCGGTGTTCCTCGATGATGTTTTGATTATTCGGTAGCTTCTTTCATTTTGGTCCTGAGGAGAAAAAGAGATAATGGTGAGCCAGAGAGAAAAGGGAACAATCATATTTCATCAGCAGAGACTACAACTCCCATGGGACCCCTCACCTTCTCATAGTACTTGACTTCATACTCTAAGATGACCCCGTTGGCTCTATCCGGTGGCTGCCAGGCCAGTGAGATGGTGTGTCTTGTGATATCCTTCGCCTGGATGGAAGTCACTGGAGAGGGAGCTAGAGAGATGATGAAAGAAACAGAAAAAAAATATTTAGCCCACTGCTGTCTCCCTGTCCTCCATGTTGTTTCCAGCCTTGGAGACGCCGAGTCTGTTTTGTGTTCTCTCTCCTAAATCCCCGACTCTTTGCTCCTGCTGAGAAACTCAAACATCGGGCCAGGCCACAAGGCAATCACTTCCATTTGTCTTTGAACTTGGCTTCCATTCAAAAGCCGAGGCGTTTCAGAGCTGTGTATGGCCACACAGCTTAATTGCCAAAGCTAAAATGTACAGCAATACTGATGTGCTAATATTTCTGCACTAATGGTTGGTATCCATAAAACTGATCCCATTTCCTCTTGGCTGATGCTCGCATCCTACAAACTGGCAGAATGATGTCCAACTTCATTCTCTTTAGATTCCCAGGTCACCCTGGGAAACCTCCAAACAAAGTCCATCTCAGAAAGCTCAACATGAGCCCAGTGCCTTTGCTTTTTTTTTTTTTTTTGGGAGCAAATCAATTGGTTTTCATTAAAGCTCGAGTGGGCGATCTTATCTCAAGCCCTTTCTGCTGCTGCAGCTGATAATGAGGCCATATTTCAAGCAGCCGTGCTATCTGCATTCAGACGCCTTTAACATGTGAAGGTTAAAGCACAGATAATGGCTTACACTCGTCTCCTCCCACCGGTGTGTCACCGCTGCACAAATCAAGCCTCTATCTTCAGGGGTTGTGACAACGCTAAAATTGGATCATACGCACTCAACGCGACAAAGAGAAATCCATAAGCACGGGAGAGATAGTGTTGTAAACAGAGAGACACTCATGTTCAGATTGAGCTCTGAGGAGTCGAGAAGATACGCGGGGACGGGTGGAGTTATAGACCGACAACAAAAGGTTACACGGATGAACATACAACATAAACACACACATACATCTGCAGCACTTCCCCCTGGTCACATTCAAGTCCCCTCAACAACTGAACAACCTCGCTCATCTCCACAGGAGACAGAACAAAGCAGCACACACACACACACACACACACACAAAAACAAAACATTTCCACTGACACCCAGGTAGCATTTCATTGTGGCATCTGTTCTTATGAGTTCACAAGGACTAAATCTTTGACCCCTGGTTCTTGGCGATACTGTAACCTTACTCGTTTCAGACCATCTGCCTTTTAAAAAATTACAGTGGGATGATTAATGAGGGGTTCGCGGTCCACCGATTATGATTGGATTATCTATGACATTATATACATTCTCATCACTTTGACCGGGGGCTCCAGGGAGCCTAGCCTTCGAGCTAACGCTAACAAAACCCTGCTTTTAGCCGGGGATTGAGTTCAAACGGGCCTGGAATTCAAGCACCAGCCACGGATAGAGTTTCAGCAGGGTGAAGAAGCGGCGGGAGGGGGGTGGAGGGTTTGTGATTGGTGGCTGGCGGATGGGGAAGGGGGGGTGGGGTTGAGATGGAGATAGAGAGGGATGGGATTGCAGACATCTCTTGGTAAATAGATTAACCCAAGGTTGTGTCATCCTGTTGGCCTAATGTGTTGCGTCTCGGTTAAACAATTAGACGGCGGCCATTTGTATCCCTCCGATCAATCTTACCCAGCAGCGAGAGCCAATTTGAGGGCCCTCCTGGGGCCGACTGAGAACGCTCCAGCTCAGAAAGAAAAACCCCTGAGGGGTCACCGGCCTTCGTTCCCCCAAGGTAATACACACATCCATCTTTCCCCCCAAAAGATGACAGATATGGCGTTTTAATCGTGTTCCCTTCCTCTTGTTGCGTTTTTATTTTTCCCTCGACTAATGTGAGGATAAAGATGAGTGATTTTGTGAGCGGTCCCTTCTGAGGTTCACTACGTGAGACGGCGGCCCAGGCACAAAACAAGTAATCCATCAAAGCCAAGTTTTAATACTTGTAACAGATAAATTAGTCTGAGGAATGCCTAAAAAGCAAACTGATACACATCCATATTTAAAATATTGTCAAAGCGCGTGCGCACAAAGCGGATGCGAGAGAGAGAAAAGCTGAACCTGAGGCTGCGATTTCGGCCGACCATGCTAGACTAGCTGGCACCTCTGTGGATGAATTTTAAAAATGTGGGGCAGATCTGTAATTTCTTACTGCCTGCTGAACGTGTGGGCTAAAAAAACGTTGGTGGAATAATAAGTGTTAGACGCAATGAATATTCAGATCTCATTTCTGAATTGTGCGCTCCAAAAAAAAAAAAAAAAAAAAAACTTTTCACAGCCTCCAACACTCACGCGCACACACACACACACCCACACATAAACACACACACGCCCAGCAACACGAAGGACCTCATTACGCAAACAGAAAGATAGAAATTCACAGAGAAAAAAAAAAAAATACACCTAGTCCCATTATCTCCCACAGACAGCGAACACCTCAATCACACTACCTATGCATACATTATAATGAGTAAAAACCTGGCAGAGATACATAGTTTGGTTTGGTTTGGTTTGAAAAATCACCCTCCCAGGGGAACAGTGGAGATTGTGAGGTAATTTTTTTGCAGATGTTTGTGAGGTTTTGTTTCCGCGCTGGAGCCCAGTTTGTTGAGTGAGCGAGTTTGTCTTTGCGAGCGTGTATTTGTGCAGCGAGGAGCAGCTGTGGTCGGTGCGAGCAGTTGCGCGAATATGCGGTCGATTGCAGTTTGACATTAAAAGAGACAGGGGCCGCGGTGCACATGTGGTTGCCAGATTGGAGCCTGGTTGCCAGATTGGAGTCACTCAATTTTGCTGCCGCCGAGGAAAAATAGCCGAGCAGGGAGCCGTTTCTCAGGGTGTCGAGAAAATGGCTCCTGCTTACAAGATCCTCATCCCCCACCCCCCACCCCCACCTATAAAGCCTGCTCCCATCTCCCCCAAACACATTTCCACATGTATGTCTGTCCGGTTTGCCAGGGAGATGGAAACTCACACACACGCACACATATGTGTGTGCTGACAGACGTGCCCACACACACACTCTCTCATGCACTAATTCACTTTTAGTCACCTGAGCCTGCCAAGTATTTTGTATGGAGACATAAACACCTTTCACTCTGACTCTCTCTTTCCCTCTTTCTCTCTCTCTCTCTCACACACACACACACACACACAAAGTGCTTGATCCCATAAAAAGGGGAAAAACATCCATTTACAGCCAGGGGTCAGTTCAAAGCTTGGACATCCCGCCCCTCTCTCTCTCCCCCCTCCTCTTCCACATGCAGTCCGGGTGAAAGGGTTACACCCCGGCTGATTTACGACGGCGGAATTGTTCATGGCGAAGATGTGGAATCTGACCTCCTCGTACAGACACACACAAATGCATGCCTGGTCACAGATGCACACACACGCAATCAACAACACCCATGTCTTAATTTTTGTCTCCCGGCTTCACCTCCATCCATTTTCCTCTGACACAAAACTCCATACGCGTCAGCGTTCCTCCCTTCCAACCTGTCTACCTCACTTCTCCCTCAATAGCCGAAATTTGAACTTTTATGGAAAGGCGGTGGCGGGGGGTGTCTTTTCCACAGCACTTATAAATCCTAATAAATCTATCATAATAAATGTGTAATCCACGGTGTCTGGATGAGGGGAGGCGATACAGAGAGAGGGACAGCCACAGATGACTGGCTGGATTACCAGCGGCTGAAACCAGATCTTCCAAAGCCCCTACCGAGCATTAGCGGGACGAAATCCAATCAGTCTGGAGCTATTCTCTTTAACACACACACACACACACACACACACACACACACACACACACACACACACACACAAATTAGAAGAGACACACACACATGGAGACACATAGAAGACATTGTTGGAGCGGGGGAAATGTAGATCATCTCCATCCATGAGCATACAAACATTCTGTGCAACACATTTTCTCACTTGTGGATGAGCATGCAGTCAGTTCTGCACATGTGCAAACACACACACACACACACCACACACACTTAAATGGAGGTTCCAGCTGCAAGCGTCATATAACTAATCCTGGGGAACAGTTGTGAAACATGTAACAGTGACAAGCCAAAGGCAACATCATCTATATCTTGCAACTTGAAGTCAGTAGATTAGCCTCAAGCAACCTCTGGGGGACATAACTGTGTGTTTGTCTGTGTGTGTGTGTTATGTCTTTGTATGAACTCATGTGTGAGAGTGTGCACTGTGGAGCTTTTGCGCAACTGCGCATCCGTGTGACGAAACTGACATGAGCCCTCGGCCTGGACTCCAGGGTGTGCTCCATTACAGCTCCCACACATGCCTGTCTGGCAGGACTCTCAGCTCTCCCACAGGCAGCGCATCCATTCATCTCTATCTTCCTGACCCCAGCTGATATATCAAGCCACTGTGTCCTTAAATTGCCAGTCCAAGCTCTATTCAAGATATTCGCTTTTCCCAGGGAGGGAAATTAGTGATAAAAAAACGACACAAAAGGGGCACTTAGCTTACCACCCAAGAGCAGAGCAGTAAAGAAGACCAAGGTAATGATCGGCTATAAGCGGAGGAGAGAAGGGAGGGATGAAGAGAAAGGGCCAGGGTCATAAAATCCATTTGCACAACAACCAGTTACAAAATGGCTAAATGACAAAACAACGGGAGGCTTTGAACGCAACCCCAGGCTAGAGGGCTCTTCTCCAGCTCTGGAGTAGAGGCTGTATTCATGGGGTTATTCTACTAGAATAATTACACACACACACACACACACACACACACACACACACACAATCCAGCAGCATTTGTAATGAAGCCTCCACAGATCAATACAACTCATCTAATTCATTAGCTTGAGCGCTAAATATAGCACGTTGCCCCTATCTTCAGCCGAGGCTTCTCATGCCTAATTATGCAAAACTCAAGTGAAATATTGCAGAAAATCATTTCCCACTGCAGAGAATCCATCATCCTCCTCAGTAATCACCCAGCCTTCGCCCAAATTATTCACAGCTTTAATAAACATGTTTTGACACGCAGATTGCCCCCCCCCCCCAAAAAGGAGAAAAAAAAGTACTTCAAGCGCTCAGTGTAACGAACCTGTGCTCTGCATCAAACATAAGCCTGCACACACAACTACAAAGCTTCCCTAACATACACTCTCTCTTTCATACGCACGAGTCAAGAGACTTACTCGGATTCAGAAGCAAAACACTGGAGAAATCCTAAAATTCAGCAAAAGTAAATGATAAAATTTGAGGAAGTGTCCTGCTATATGACAATAATTGATGAGGTCAAGGGCAAGACGGCCATGTAGCAAAGGCGAGTCACGGCCACTAACCAAACAAAAAACAAAATATCTATTAGAAATCATCAATTTTTGTAAAGTTACCAAGAAACTGTTTAAGTGCTCAGGAAAAATGGAAATGTGAACATCTGCACTTCAATGACAACTGCATCTTCTGAGTTTGATCATGTGAAACGACCAAAAACTTTTTATCTCAAATTTAATGCAGTTAGGTCTAGTAACTAGAGCTGGGCTATAGATAACCAGAATTACCAATTTAATATAATGTAGAGCTGTTTACTGAAAACAAGTTGCTATTTTCTACGGCCCTGTTGTAAAGAGGCCGTCACTCTCTCCACGACTGTTATTGTGAAATCATTCTTGGCCTGGGGTCCAGGATTATGGCAAAGCCAATAATCCATATATCTTGCATAAAAACATGTGATCTGCAGCGTCTCACTGGGATCCACCTTGACAGCATTAACAGGGATGAGAAATATATTGGTATGTCGATATATCAGGCCAACAGAGCAACAGAACACTTATTTATTGTCAAATCAATCAATGCTACAACGGTTATCGATGGAAAGCCTTTAACCTCCACTGATGTTGCACTTTGAGAGAAAGGACTGAACTCTTCCTCTTGTCCCTGTTTTTTTTTTTTCCCACCAACTCATTCAAACCACGTCTGAGGGTCTTACCGGCCTGGTTGGTGGTGACGGTCACCGACACCGCCTGCTCCGGCCCGGGGCTCTGAGGGGAGACTCCGTTCACCGCCCACACCTCGAAGGTGTAGTTGGTGTGGGCCTGCAGCTCGTTGATGGACACCCTGGTTCCCTTCAGGCTCAGCTGCTGGGGGCTGAAGTGGATGCCGTTACCGCAGGGCTGACAGCGCCGGCCGTCGGGCCCGCAGCGCTTACACACCACATTGTATGTCAAGTCCTGGCGTCCCCCCGAGCTGCGCGGCGGGCTCCACTCCAGGTTTACAGAGGTCTCGTTCACATTGGAGATGAGGTGGACGGGCGCCGACGGAGGACCTGCGGAGGAGGAAGAATGAGGAGAGAGTTGATGTTATTACCAGGAGTGGTTAGAGAGCAAATGCTAAGCAGGTACAGAGTTACACTAATATTTATTGTGGTCACGACTGGAAAATGGGAGTAGAGAGGGAACACCTGAGGAAGGACATGACAAACCGCTGATCATTATATTAACAGTAAGCCTGTGGCGGAGTCTCCAAAGGCTGCGGTAATTAATTCTTTTCATATATACATATAACAAAGATGTAAACGTGTAATTGACTGGCTTGCCCATTGATTGGGGGGCTGAGGCTTCTTGCATTCCCTTTTAATGTCCTGTCCATTACAGCGAGGGAGGATCCAATTTCACCTCAGTTAATTCAGCGCGTTAACTGAAATCCAATAGGCCAGCAGATTTCTTTCCCATTCATATGTCGAATCAGCTGGAGGTGGCACGGAGCCCGAGCCCGCTGCTAACAGCAGGACTTTATGGCACCCACTCAATAACTTGAGACAAAGTTTGCTTTGGACCCTGTTATTAAGTTTCTGCTTTGATGTAAAAAAAAAAAAAACAAAAAAAAAAACGACCCGCTGCAGTTCTATATTAAAGCCGCTCCACAGATATGTGACACAAACTCTCCTGCTCATCAATCCCAATTTACATGTCAGCTCTATTGTAATTAATGTGTTTTTTTGCGTTGCTTTCAAACATAAGCGGCGGTAATTGACTTAACTCTCTCTCTCTCTCTCTCTCTCTCTCTCTCTGTGTATCTGTTTTCCCTCTCTCGCTCCCTTCAGATCTGACTAATGAAGCGCACGCGAGCGGGCTGGGGGGATCGATGCCGGGTGAAATATGAAAGCCAGTCAGTCCACAGACGAATCATTCCACAACGGAAATTAATTATCAGTGTTATTTTTGGAGGAGCAGAGTGGCAATGAGTGATTTCACAGAGACACAGAGAGCAGCAGAGGGGACAGTGTGTAGGGGTGTGTGTGTGTGTGTGTGTGTGTGTGTGTGTGTGTGTGTGTGTGTGTGCACGTGGTCACCCGAGGAGGAATCCACTGTGCTTTTGTGCACGAGGGAGACGTGGAAGTACAGTTTTAACCCGCCGTGCGCACGTCTTCACACGGCGCTCATACTGTATGTGTGCGAGCTGGAGTTTTGAGTAGTGGCGCCAGCGTTAGTTTGGCAGCTCGTGCTGAATGAACAAATGCTGAGGCTGAGAGGAGAGGGACAGAAGGAGAAGACAAACACCGTCTGTTCATCCACACAGTGAGGAGGGAGTGGGGCTGGATGGATTGGATGGATGGATGGATGGAGACAGGAAGGGGACAGATATGGATGATGGGAGGCGAGGAGCGGTGTCGCTAACTGAAAATGACCTGAGGGGTCACTAACAGCCCACGACACAGGCGGGGAGAAGAGAAGATGCAGACTACACTGTGTTAATATTAGCATCACTCAGCTTCCCCCTTTCCAACCGCAGCCTTCGATGAAAACCTATTAATAAATTCTCATTAAAAATTTTGATAAAGCACTGCGCCACCCCACCCTCCCTCCCCCTTTTCTCCCCTGCTTTTTTCTCCCCCTCACCCACTTTCCCTCCCTCGCTCTTCCACCTCATTCCCTCCGTCCGCTTCTCAGATGATGGGAGCAAGTTACAGATGGGGTTTCTAAATTAAGGTGCTACACTCACTTGTCATTATAATGGCGCCTTTGTCAGTGCGCTAGGTTCAACTAACCTCTACTACCTTTTAATACTCAATAGCATGCTGTCTGAAGTAGGCTATAAAGCTATAATCCAGCTGATACCTGGACTTAAGATAACAGAACAAAGGTGACAAATGTTTCAATGTCAATGTGTCTGTCCTCACAAGGATGAAAATACAGTGTACTGTCCAAATTAAAGATATTTGTTCTTGTTTTTTTTACTTACAAACACAAGCAAAAGAGGTTTCAGGAATTAAAAGTAAAGAATAAAGGTTGATATTATGGGAAATACATTTATTCATTGTTACTGTAACTATGAAGCTGGAGCCAGGAGGTCGTTAGCTTAGCTTAGCAAAAAGGAGTTCAGCTAACTGTCAGAAAGTAGAGGGGAACATTTTACTCTTTGGTTTTTGCAAGAATTAAATAAGTGAGATATAACAACATAATGACTGAGCTTTAGAGGTATTAGCGTAAGTATTAGGTATTTCCTTCAGACAGAGCCAAGCTTTCCGTCTTTATGCTAGGCTAAGCTAACCGTCTCCTGGCTCCAGCTTCATATTTAACGTACAACTCTTGGAAACAAAGCAAATACGTGTATTTCTAAAGACGTGAAACTATTCCTACATCCTCAAAAATATACTTAATATACAAAGATATGTGTGTCTGTTGGCAGGTGTGTGTGTGTGTGTGTGTGTAATCACTTCAAAAACATTTATTTTGTTTGTTTGTTGCTATGACAAGAGTTGCAACACTGTAATATAACTTTATGACTGTATAAAGTCTTAAACACATTCCACCACGTCAGAGCTTCTCCAGACATTACACACACACACACACACTACCTTTGGCTGTACCTGTCGCTCTCCCAGAATGCACCGGTGGGAGCAAGGGAGCGTGGGAGAGCCGTCGGCTGTGACTGACACCCCATAATTAATCCTAGGAGAGAGAGCGGCAGGGGGAAGTGGGAGCAAAACACTCAAGACAACCTTGGTACAACGTTGGCTCAACCTGGCCTTAAAATTCAAAAACTCCTTATGGGTGGAATCCCAGGGGAGAAAGTTTCTCCTGAAGAAAGTTGGTGCTTTCTTTGTTTCCCCTCCTCTCCTTTTCGCTTCGTTTACGGCCTCGCACTTCGCTCAGAGCCTCGTTTCTTTCTTTCCAGTCACGCTTTCACTTCCATTTCCCCCCTTCTTTAATCTGTCTTTCTCATTTTTACTCCGCTCCCATTCTGCATCTTTCTTCTCTGCGTGTTCCCACCCTCTCCTCCTTTCATCCCTCTCTCCTTCTGTCTCTTCCCATCAGTAATTGTTAGCCGAGTGCTGCACAGGGGCCGAGGCAGCGAGCAGGCAAAATTGGCCGGAGCATCGACCCCGCTATTACCATCCGGCTGGGATTCATTCAACGCCCCCCTCGAGTCCTACCCACTCCGTGTTCATTCCTCGCTCCGTCCCTCCCTCTTCCTGTCAAACCACCGCTAAGAAAACTGGGGGAAAATCTGAGAAACACATCAAGAGCCAACAGAAACCCCAAAATGGAGAACAACCCCCTCCTTATAACCTGAACGCAGCGGAGAAACCATCTCCCACGGGTGTCTGTCCCTGGTCCTCATTACCGCCCTGTGGTGTACGTGTGTGCGTTCATATTCACATTTATTCATGTGTATTTTAATATTGTACCCTCAACTGTTTGCTTATTGTGCTGAGGAGATGTCTTGTACCTGTTGAATGTCTTAAAAGTTAGACATGGGTCTCAGGAGGCGCAACAGCCTTGACGTAAATGAAGAAAAATGAAGAAAAAGCAGGTGATTTACAAGGAAGAATAAAAGTTACAACAACACAAGTACAATAAAATATGCAGCCAGGAAACACAAAAGCAAGAAGGAAACATAAAAACAAACTATAAAAAGCTGTCAACAGGTTGTTACAGCAAAGAAAATATCCAAAAATCTGTTTTTAAGAAGTGATAGAACTCATTTATCCTGCCAGGTTCCTCAGGCGAGGATGATCCAAGGTGTGGGAGGCAAACAATTGGATCGTGCCGTGTTTCTAATCTAGAGAGCGAGTGTTTTGATCAGTCGTTAATCGGCGATCAAAAGAACAATCACCGCAAGAGAGCAAAGACGCGAGAAAGGCACTGACAGACAGAATACAGCGGCAGCAACCAGGCCTGCGCACAAACAGGCACACAATGACACAATTACACTACATCCAGTTTTAATCTTCATCTTGCATCGCTAGACCCCGAGCTAAGAGAGGAAAAGCGTTTTCAATTACCCGTACACACACATACACACACACACACACACACACACATACACACACACACACATACAGACATGCTCCCCAATTACCAGAGATGTTGGCTCTTTCCCAGCCTGACCTTCAGCAAGTCAAACTAGGAAATGACTTTAAGAGGGGTTTTTTTTTTTTTTCCTTCATCTGCTCTGTTCGTGACTCTGAGTGGATTTAGAGAGAGACTGCAAACAAAATGTGGACGAGGAAGGATGTGTGAGTGACAGCTGTAATTACAGAGCTCTAACATGTGGGTGAGAAATAAAAAAATTCTTTTTTTAAATGCACGAGGAATGAAAACAGCGGACGACAGACGGGGTGAGAGTTCAAAGATCAACCCGGCTGACGAGGCGGGGCAAAGGTCGGTGAGAGAGTCCGTCTAATGTTCACTTCCTCGCCGCGGAGTTAGGAGCGGGGTAGAAATTGCATAGCAGGGCCCAATAAAATGAGCCAAGTAATGAGCTTTGACAGCTGTTGCTTGCAGCAGCCATGCTCACATGCCACAATGACTAACAGGACAATGGAGATGAGCCCCAGTCCCTTCCATTTAAAGAGCGGTAGTAACCTAATATATTAGTGATGTGGCAAAACAGGGGGGGGGAGGGTGACTTAGCAGTAGGCCTCATGTTTAATTATCTAAGGATTTATTTATTATTATTATTAAAACTAAACAAGTATTAAAAACAGGTGAAACTTGTATTAGTTCAGACATATTGGTTTTTCTTTCATTTTTCCTCTTTGATTTCTGTTACAGGAAGCTGAACACCCAGGAGAAATGTGTTTGCTGAAAATAATATTACACGCTAAAAAAAAAAGTGTCTTCTTGCAGCAACAGCTTTTGGAATATGTTGGTACATAAAATGTAATTTTTTTTTCAGTCGTTTTTTTCACTGCTCTGATCCCTTTTAAGTGTATCTACATGAAAAATGTAGTTAATAATGAAACTGAAGAGCCCTGTTAAGTGTTTAAAAAGACTATAAACTCCCACCATACATCTGACATGCCCCGGAGCAAAGACTTAGTAGGGCTGCAACTAATATTTATTTAAATAATTGAATAAGCTGGTGATTATTTTCTCAATTAATCATTTAAAGGTTTGATCCTTAAAATATCAGAAAACTGTAAAACATGCTCATCACAGTTTCCCAGAGCCCAAGGTCATTTCATCAAAGTGTCTTAAAACGTACAAACATATTCACTTTTACTTAAATGTAAGACAAGAAAAATGTAGTTAATAGTTACACGTGGAAAACTGGAAACATTAACATCATAAATCTTTCACAGACTTTTGGGGGTCAAGTGGGCTGAATTACTGAGATGGACCAGGATCAATAGATAATGAAATAAAAGTAAGTAAGTGACTGTTTATGTAATGTCTAACTAAGAAAAAGTGGATTTAGTGTCAAGTTACTTTTATGTTTTTGGCATTTTCACTTGAAAATTGGTTTGAATTATTAATCAAATTTAAAAAAAAGTGGCCGATTATTTCCATGTCGGACTATTTCGATTGATCAGATAATCACTGCAGAACATTGTTTCATGTTTCTGGGACTGGGAGTTTGCACACAAGTCCAATGGCTAATTTTTTTTCTATTTGCTTGAAATAAAGTCAAAGCAAACTCTTTTGGTTTAGCGACACTTGGAAAAACAGTAAAAATAACCCCAGATGTAGCCAAAATTCAAAAGGGTTTTTGCAGATTACCACAAAACACAAGTAAAACATTGACTCATATTCCTGATCATGACAATGTTCCACAATAGAGCCTTGTTTATTATCTTGCATAGATACCGTACAACAGGGGAGCAATTAAAGGCCGTTCAGTTTTGTTGCTGCTTAGACAGTTAAGTGTCGGGGGGGGCCGCAGCTCGTCTGATTCAATAAATTGTTTCGCTGAGTGATGAATCCACAGGAACCTGACAGATCATTGGGGCCAAATGACGAGCCAACTATGAGCTAAGCAACTTACCACAGATGTTTTGGTTGTTAAAACGGCTTCATGACACAAACGTGTGTCGTATGAAAGTATGAACACTGTTATTTTTTTCCCGGGAAAATTTTTGTTTTTCTTTTTGTTCTCTGGGTGCGTACTGTATTTTTCTACCACTACATGACTCAGAAGGAATGAGTCCTAAAAAAAAGAATTAGTATCATTATGCAGCAAGATTGTTAACAACATTTGTTATCACAGTCGTGGTGAGTCAGGGGGGAGGACAGGGGTTGACTCACACAGCCGGATAGAGGAAAGCGAAGACACACACTGAGAAATGTTACACTGACTGAACACCTTCCTTCAGCTCGATGCATTCCTGTAATTGCTTCCTTTTTTCTTTCTCCTTGGCACCTTAACCCCTCGTTCTCTATCAACTTCTTATTCATTTTCTGCGTACATCTTCTGCTTCTCACCTGCCCTTGTTTTTCCACCTCTGTCATCACCTCCCGGCGTCTCAGCCAACATTTTATCTCTATTTGCCTTTCCCCATTGTTCCTGCCCTCCTCTGCTGTTTTGCAGTCTCTCTGTGGAAGACTGAATCTGGGATGCAGCGGTTTAATACCCTTATTAGTTCTCTGTCACCATGACTGATCACTAAGTACCACCTGGAATCAAAAGACACCTATTAAACCAGCAGCCGCCTGCTTTATGTGTGTGCAGAAAGGCTGTCTCTGTGTGTGTGAGGGGATAATTTAGGCTGACACTGCATGAGAGCGGGAGAGGGAGAGAATCTGTGACCATGTTTAAGTGAAGGAAATCACTCTGTGTGTGTGTGTGTGTGTGTGTGGCTTCTTTTAGTATTGTGTTACACATACACTATGCAGCAGCATGCTTAGCAGGATAGATTTACAGAGCACTGTAAACCATAGCCTATAATGGCACACTGCTAATACAGCTGTAGCCTATGTCTTGTACTTACGGGTGCAGGCCATGGATGCCGGGTCTGTTTCCGAGCGAAAGTATCCCTTGTCGCAGACGCAGGAGGTGGATCCCTCCCTGACGGAGTAACTGTGGAGCGGACACTTGGAGCAGGAGCCATCAGTGGCCAGAGCGCGGTAGTAACCGATCTTACAGGCTGAAAGAGAGCAAAGACACAGAGGGGGGGGGGTTTGGTTAGAGGTGACGTCGACACGCAACATCAGCTGAGCGTTGCTTTGAACTGAAACACGATGAAAGTTCAAGAGTCTTACAGTCATGCTAGCGGCTTTGCAAGCACAGCTAAATGCTAACATCAGAATGCTAACATGCTCACACAGACACACTGATGTTTAGCACATGTGAAGTTTTACCATCTTAGTTCAGAGAGATAGCCTGCTAACATTAGCTAATCACAGCTGAGACTGATGGGAATGTAATTAGCTTGAAGGTATTTAAATCATAAAAAAGAAATGTAGCTGGCAAATCAAACTTCAAATCAATGACGGCGCCAGATGAAACGTAATGTGATCACAAAGTAAAATAATATTCCCTGGAAATCAGTTTGGAAGCCACATCCAGAATAAGTGTCACGACTGAAGTTGATAGAAGTGGCTGTCTGTGGTTTTGGTAATGAGGAGATGGTGCCACAGCATTGCACTTGACTTCAAAAAGAAAAGAATCATTTTGCCCATTTTCCCCCAATTAGCAACAGGAAACAAAACGTTGCCCAGAGGCTTCTTCTTCTCCTCTCCCCAACCCTTCCTCCCTTTGTCCTACATTTCCACCTTCAAGGCTTTCTCTCCTTTCTCCTTTCTCACGAACCTGCGTTCTATTATCAAAGACAACAGAACAGGAGTAAAGGGCGCGATTTCCTCTGACAAAAACACAAGATCAAATAACTACCGCGTGTCTTTCTCACAAATTTAAGCTATGCTCTTCTGGCAAGACTTGGAGCCGCAGTGAAACCGGAGCCGTTGGCATTTCAGACCATTTAACAAACAAATACCACCACACTTGGCAAACCAGGAGCTCTGTCACTCTCACGTGGCTGTATTCACTCTGCAAGGCCTCACACACACACACACCTTCACACACACACACCTCAGTCTGAAATTGTAACCTAAGTGAAACTTTTCCTTCTTTTGGCGACAGTGCTCGCCTTTCTCTTGAGTGACAGTTTGATTGGAGGGCTCGTCTTTCAAGGAGTTTCTCCCTCGTCTATCCATTTCTGTAATTGCCAGGGAAGCCTAACGGGGTTATATTTCACCCCCTGAGCGCTGAACCAGAAGAGGAGGACAAAAGAACAATTCTCTGAGAGGTGCGGCGCAGACAGTCGCGACACCGATTGGACCAAATAGCCTGTCAGTCAGCGGAGCCGCCGTGTGCTCGGCAGTGGGCAGCAAATAGCATCGAGGCCGAAGGGTTGTAGTTTTGGGTTCTGGTAGAGTAGGTAGAGCTGGCAGTTTGTGTGAGATTTTATGTGTGTGTGTGTGTGTGTGTGTGTGTGTGTGTGTGTGTGTGTGTGTGTGTCTTGTTATGATGTAAAAAGACCCACTGGAGACAGATGGGTAAATTCATTCCCAATATAAATCAGATAATTACACACTTTTAGTCTGCAGGGGTACAAACGACTCTCCCGCTCAAGCACATACACAACCCAGATCTAAAAGTGCATATGAAAGTCATGGGTTTCAATGCCACAGTCATAAATACATCAGGGGATCCTACATACAAAAGAGCAGTCACATAAACAAACTCCCACATGTGTTCACCACACTAGAAATCAAATCAGTGCCTGCCCACATACACCGCAGCGAGGAGGAAGTCCGCACTCCAACAAAAACACACATTCCACCGACCATGCGACATCACACGTACAAACAGCAGAGGAAATCCACAAACCCCACCTCCCCTTAAAAAATACCGGGAAATCCCTCTTTTAGAGGCGTAATAAAGTCAGGATTCTTTGCCCCGCAGCCGCTCCTCTGCAGCGGCTGGATTAGCGTAGCGTGGCGTTAACCGAGCCGGGGCTAGCTGCTACCTGCTGAGCCATTCTTCGCCTGTTCCCACTCAGTCAATCAGGGCTAAATCCCTGCCGCTTCACTCGCTAACGCTAAGCTAAGGGCCTCTTTGATTGTAGCCTGCAGGGGTGCGTGAAGCCTTCATTTCTTTTCTTCACAGTTTCAAAAAAAAAAAGAAAAAAAAAGAGGAGATTAGTCGGGAGGCACTTTGTGTTATCTCTCTATCTTTAAGGCGATCTCTCAATGCCCAGGCTCATCAGTGGAGACAGAGGGACAGTGGGATTTGTGGGTATTGTTTAAGAGGGTTGCGAACGCTTCAGGTGACAAAACACAAAGTTGCTGTGAAGGTCTGTACATGTGCGCTGACCAGGAAAGTGTCCAGAGTTGAATGTGGGGTCAAGCAGCTGTTTGAGATGATGCCCCCTCTGCTAAAAGCTGGAGGGAGAGTTAATTGACTCCCATGCTTCACAGCCTTTGGGCCTGAGCCTCTTTAAGGAGACACAGTCTAAGAGCAGGCTACCTCAAACTGTGCACGGTTGATGAGTTTTTCGCTCGTCAATTATTAAGCTGTCCCAGGCTGACCCCACAGTCCCCAACCGGCTGTCCCAGGATTCTTTGCACAGCTCCAAATCCCTGTTTGCCACAGACGGGCTCTGGCATCTTCAACTGCGGTTTGAAACTCTGCATTTCGAGAAATTGTGTTTGAAAATGTGATGTCAACATACGAGGGCTTGTTTACAGCAGCGACTGCCCTGCAGAAAGGAACAGTCGAGGGGAAAAGAGAGGTCCATATCCAAGTAAAGCTGGGGAATTTGCTTCCTATTAGCAGTGTGAGTGTGTGTGTGAGTGTGTGAGTGTGTGTGTGTGTGTGTGTGTGTGTGTGTGAGTGTGTGTGTGTGTGTGTGTGAGGGAAGAGAGAAGAGACCGCAGTAGTGGGTGGTCCAAGAGACCGTGGCTTCAGAGAGGAATCTCCCTTAAGACTTGCTGGATTTATCACTGTCCGGGCCAGCAGTGGCAAACCCACACACACACACACACAAATACGGACACAAATGAACACACATGTATTTAGTTTTTATGGGATCTGAGCTGAGAAGCCCTCATCATGTCCTCTCATACAGCTCTCAAAAAAGTCTAACCCTATTTTTCCACACCATCTTTTTTAAACTGTCTCCTACTTCGCTCCCTGTCACTCTTCAGCTCTTCAGCTCTCCTACGTTATTTTTCCCTCAGTCTCCTTCGCCCTCTATCTCCGTCTCCCACTCTCCTAGGCTTTCTCTCTGCAGGCCTCCTTTCAGACAGAGAGGGGTTTGTCAGGTGCCAAATCCCTGAGCCGAGAGATCAAAGGCAGACAAAGAGACTGGTGACTTACTGTTCTATTCTGGAAAGGCAAAAAATGGAATCCCTCATAGACTGGGACATCGCATTCTTCCCTCTTTTCTCCCCCGGCAGTTCTTTCACTCATTCAATCCTCCTCTCTGGCTTTAGTCCTTTTTCCCTTTTGTCAGTCTTCCCCCTCCCCGCCCCTTCCACATCCCGGTTGTCTCTAAGCTAAAGCACGTTTGGAGGAAAGAGGAGGGGAGGGGGGGGGGGCAATAAGGGCGGAGGGAGAGGGTTGTTGGGAGTTAATGAGTAGTTTTGTCTGTGTGGTGGGGATTTGCCGGCTGATTTGGCTGCACGGCGCGAGGGGAGGGGGAATCGGCAACTTCTGCTCAAGACAAAACCTTCGACGCGAAAAAAAAAATAGGAGCGCACAAAAAAGCTAATGATACAATGATAGCTACCCACACGCGAGACAACTATAACCCAGCTACGTTCTCCTCTGAGTAGTAACAGCCTACACACCGGGCTTTGAACAGCCGTGGATGCTCCGCCAAATAAAACCACATGTACCCACGCACCCACCCACTGCAGCCCACCTCGGGTGACCCGCATGGAAAGCCTGATAGGCAAGTTATTCTGCAGCCTACACAACAAAGTATCCAATACACCAGGGACTGAAAGCATGAGAGCAAACTTGCGCTACAATAGCCATCCAAAAAACCCCAGGAATATAACACCCAGCACACGGCACACAATAACCAGGCCTGCCCAGGCAGAACAATTGCCTCTCTTGTAATAAAAAAAAAGAGAGAATTAAGTTCAAACTACGGCATTTTCTCTCCTTTCAGGACTGCGCTTTATGTTCTTTGGGTGATGAAAACTCGGTCACTCTTTTTTAGTCATAACAGACAGCGAGCGCTCTTCAGAAGAGCAGTCAGAGGCGTCCTCACAAAGCCGCTCTTTCAAAAAAAATGAAGCGATCGGCTTTCAGGACCTGAGGGCAAGGATAGTCTCTCCTTCTCCCGCACCTCGAGGAGCCAGAGATCTCTATTCAAACCTGCCTTTCTGCCAGATCCCTCTGCCTTTTGTGTCTCTTCTATCTCTTTTTTTTTTCTCTTCTTCTCCCAGTGGAAAGCAGCTCGTTGCTCAGGTAAGACTCCTGCTAGAAAAAGGATTGTTATTCCAGCAGTGCTTTGTTTACCCTCTGGCTGCAGTCCCAAGCTGGGCTTAAAAAAAAAAAAAACACTCAAAAGTCTTGGATGTATATATACTGTCTATTCCCCACACAGACATGCATACAGATGACACACACACACACATCAGTGCACCTGAGCCATGGGCATATTAGCAGGGATAACTAGCTGCTGACCGTTAACATCTGTCACCGGAACAGCAGGAGAGCGGAGCAGGTTAACTCATTAATTCCGTCACTGGGGGTTATTAATTACCTCCGGCCCTGACGGCGACACACAGCCACACGGCCAGCGAAAGCCATCAGCGTGATGGATGAGGGACACACGGCCACCGAAACTGATCACCATGATTGATGACATACACTCGACACACATCTTGACCTTGACCCGGTGGGGGTGAGAAAAAAAAAAAGAAAAAAAAAAAAAAGGGTCCCATACTTTAAAATGCAAAACCAAACAAAAAAAAAAAAGTCTGGGATGACATCCTGACCGGTGTTAATGAAGGCTAAGAACAAAAGCCAGCGAGGCTAACAATGTTAATAACACTCAGGCTAACCTTGCTGACAATCACCGCAGCTTTGCTCACAGTGGCCTGTACCAGGGAGCGCAGGAGTTGCCAG